GTGTATGTTTAGCTTTTCTAAATAGTTCCTAACTTGTTCTTTCCCCACCAAGGGCTGTCCACCTCCTTTCCATACTGCATTGCCTAGTGCATTTGTCTGGGAGCTGTCCTTGTCTGTGAAGACAGAGGCAAAGAAAGCATTAAGTACTTCAGCTTTTCCCACATCATCTGTCTCTGGATGTGTGTCTAGACCACAGGGTTTTTTCAACAAAAGTGTTTTGCCTGTGTCTACACTACCACCGCGTTCTGTCAACACTAAATCGACAGAACACAGCAGTTTTGTCGATGGCGGTAAACCTCATTCTACAAGGAGTAACGCCTTTTTTCGATAGTACTCTCTTCAAAAAAGGCACTATTGCATGCAAACTGTACTTTTTCAAAAGAGAGCATCTAGACTCTCTTTTGAAAAAGCGGCTTGCTTTGTCGACAGTACTGGTGATAGTCTAAACGCTCTTTTTAGACAGAAGCTTTGTCAACAGTATCTGTTGACAAAGCCTCTGTCGAAAAAGGTGTGCAGTCTAGATGTACCCTGGGTTACCTCCTTCATCCAGTAAGGGCCCCACTCTCTCTCTGATCATAACATGCCTGTAGAAATCTTTCTTGTTACCCTTCACATCCCTTGCCGACTGCACTTGTACCAAGAAGTTTTCCCCAACATTCTCCAAAAATTTCCTGGATTGTCTATGTACTTCTGTATTGATCTCCCAGCAGATGTCAGGGTGATTAGTCACCCATGAGAACTAGGGCCTGCGATCTGGAAGCTTCTCTCAATTGTCCAAAGAAAGCTTCGCCTACCTCATCCACCTGATCCGGTGGTCTATATCAGACACCAACCACAACATCACCCCTGTTGCTTCCACGTCTAAATTTAACCCATAGACTCTCAACATGACTTGCTCCGTCCTCTGCCTTCCTCATGCCATACCCTCCTTTCAACCCCTCTTTTCCTGATACTCATTCCTCCTCTCTCCTTTTCCTCCCTCTTGCCCCCACTGTCCCTCCCCTTTCTTCTCCCAGCGTTATCCTGTCCCCTCCCTTCTCGCACCCCCACTGACACCTTCCCTCCCCTACCTGCTCCTGCCCTTTTCCTCGTTGTCTCCTCTTGGTCTCCTGGCCATTTGTCTCTCCTCCACCCTGCCCCTTGCTGCCTGCCCCTTTCTTCTCCTGCCCTGGCCTCTTCCTCTCCTCTCAGGACAAGCCCCTTCCTCTCCTCACCCCCTGCCCCTTAGCTCACCACCTGCCCCTTTCCACACCTTTTGCCTTCCACATGGAAAGTAGTTTGCAGGGGCTGGGACCGTGGTACTATTTTTAGTACTGCAGTTCCAACCCCCAACGCCCCTGTAGCCCCAGCCCCAGCTGTTCCTGGGATGGGACCATATGCCGGGACTGGAGCAGAGGCTGCTTGCAGTGCTACTTTTAGTATTGCGGCCCTGGCTCCAGCTGGAATAAAGCAGCAGACACATGCGGTTCACAATTTGCATATCTTTTTCCAAAAAACCTTGCAGTGTAGATATAGCTTCCGCCCCATGACAATTTTTATAGCATTTGCCATTTCCTTCAGATACCTTTTCACAGAAACTATAGTGCTTTGAGGGATGAAACTAATGTTTGAAATTTTATTTTGTATAGATAGAATGAATTATGGAAGCAAATTGAAATATATTTTATTTTCCATGATCAACTTCAGTTACTACTTTGACTGAAGACCGTATCCTTGCATGGTATTAGTCATTGCAGCTGGCTCCCATAGTCTTTCATCTTCCTACCACTTAATATTATTGTCCTAGACAGTACTTCTAGAGTAAAATCTCTTAATGCATGTGGATCTTAGAGCAATTTAAAGTGCTGGCTTTGAACCAGAAGAAGCTTTGCTATCTTGGGGCAATATTTGAAAAATGGTGCCATTGGGGAATAGCAGGCAGACAGCAAATAATGTTAATTCATAAAGTAATTAAACTGTTACTTGTAAAAATTAACTTTGTATGAAAGAGCATGTCTGTTGTAGTTTGGGGGAGGGTGTGCTTTTTCATACGTGGTAAAGAAGTTTAATCTTTGCTCCCGTCAGCCCGCAGGGATGTAACACACAATTTACATGTGTGGTGTATGGCGTGGGGGAGAAGTATGAGATTGTAATTAAAGTTGTATTATATGTAAAGAAAATGGGGCTACTTCAGGGCCAGTCGTCAGGGTGGCTCTCCACATAGCTGCAGACTTAGGCCTGGTCTGCACTTCACAGTCAGGTTGAGCTAAGGTAGATTTGCAGCTTTGCTCCTCCAAATGTAAGTGCCCTACTACAGATTGAACTTCTCTAGTCCAGCACTCTCTGCTGGTCCAGTAACATCTGTGTCCAGCATGATTTTAGTTAGCTGGATATCCACTTATCGTGGGTGTGGCTACATTTCCTGTAGTCCCATGAAGTTTGTTTACAACCACCAATCCCAGCTCTATGTTCTGTTCTATTTAGTTCTAATTTCATCCCTAAATGTCTTTTAGGGGCCAGTAAGCAGTGGAAGTTTTGGTAATATTGCTAGACAATACTGACGTCCCTTGGTTCGGCAAATTCTCTGTTTCGACACCAGTCAGGTTCTAAGAGTGTCAGACTAGATATATTCAACCTGTATACCAACAATATCTCCACCTCCCCCAAAAGTATCTGGCTTATGTTGGTGTAGTTAGGGTGACTCAGTGTCTCTACAGACTAATAATGGGCAACCTGCGGCCTATAGGCCACACATGGCTCATAGAGGTTCTGTGTGGCCCATGCACTGGATTGATAGATTTTGCTGATTTCCATCTGTGTGGTTTTTTTCCTACCGGTATTACTAACTGATACATGTAAATCAAGGGCCTGTGAAGTGAGATGTGTTCAGTCAACACCCAACATTGACAATGAGAGCTGTGCACTCACTCTGCATTCAAAATGCTGCTATGGTTCAATTGGCACCTCCACAAATTTTAGGTATGTAAGCACAGTTAGGAAAACTACCCTATACTGGGAGACTTGGTTATGACAATCTTGTGGGCTACTGAGATGAAAAAGGGCCACCCATGCAGCCCACTAACTAGAGAGGTTGCTCATCACTGCTGTGGACATTGCATTCCTTACAGCAGCTATTGGCTGTTTTGTCAATTTCAAAGCACTGTATAAATCCGTGGTCCCCAACACGGCGCATTTAGGAAAACTACCCTATACTGGGAGACTTGGTTATGACAATCTTGTGGGCTACTGAGATGAAAAAGGGCCACCCATGCAGCCCACTAACTAGAGAGGTTGCTCATCACTGCTGTGGACATTGCATTCCTTACAGCAGCTATTGGCTGTTTTGTCAATTTCAAAGCACTGTATAAATCCGTGGTCCCCAACACGGCGCATGGCGGGGGGAGCGCCGGCCACGGGCGCGCGGCGCTGGGCGGGGGGAG